AAGTATTGTATTTCTAGGCCAATGACCCCATCTCCATCAGGTTTTGTTCAGTTTCCCTGGTCCTTTGAGCAGATGCTGAGATGGCCCCTTGTTTGCTCCTGAAACGTAATATAACTTCGCTCTCTCCACTCAAGGCATCATATTGACTCATCATACACGATTGTGATTGTATATGTGACTCAATAAATATTATTATTATTATTATTATTATTATTATTATTATTATTATTATTATTATTATTTTCCACACACAACTTACTTGAAATTAGAGAGCTATCGTATTTCCGATGAACTGATACTAGAACTGTATCACCACGTTCTTTGTCATGTGTAGACGGATTTCTGACAATTCAAAAATACTCTCGTGGAGCCAAGTTTCAGTCAAGATAAGATATCTTTTACTTATAATTATTTTTCATATTGTCGATTATTTCAGGATGCCGAAGAGTTACAAGACTATTGTATTAAAAATAAGGTGAAATATATGGTGATGCTGAAAAGTTCCGAGACGGGAACTGTGAAAGTTCGGTTCTGGGATAAAGATAGGTATAATATTAAACTAAATATTCCAAAATATTAATTTATTGTCTTTATTAATTTTATTTATTTAAATTAATGTCACAACATGCATAGATTTCAGGAACGTAAACTGGCACCTTCAGAGGTCGTGGATACTTTATTAAAAATACATCGTTGTGAGGCAACATCTGAATTAGTTCGCAGTGATAGTAAGACTTCCAATGATGCATGTTCAGGAACTCCATCTGTCAGTATAACATTCATCTTCTCTGAAAGAGATAAAATCAATGCTACTTCAAAACGCCGAGTTGAAAATCAGGTATGTATTTTGTTGAGGTAGAAATGTGAGCACATCATGAACATTTTATTTAATTGTAGAGGATTTTATATTGTCTTTTGAATTTTATATAATTAAAATCATAGTAAAATACCTCAGTGGAGTTTGACTTAAACCTGTAAAATTTAAGAAATTGTAGCCGAAGATTCACAGCTACAATTTTGCTGCCTTTTGCAGTCGATCCAAGTGAACGAAATAATTTTTTATCCTAGGTGAAATTACGTGTTTCTTTGTCTCCCTTTCCTAAGCAGGTGACCATAGTAACACTTTCCGATGCATTGTAGTGATCATGAGAATCACACAAACTAAGCTACCGAACACAACCACCGCAAATATATGCGTATACATGTATGCACACACCACTCCCACATGCGCTCGCACAGCACTCCCGCACGCGCTCGCACACCACTCTCGCACGCGCTCGCACACCACTCTCGCACGCGCTCGCACACCACTCTCGCACGAACCACCCACACACTTGTACACCCCGCACACCACTCTCGCACGAACCACCCACACACTTGTACACACCGCACACCACTCTCGCACGAACCACCCACACACTTGCGCACACCGCCCACACACTTACGCACGCGCACCGCCCACACACCACACACTTACATACACACCGCATACTTACTTGTGCACACAGACTTGCATACTCACCGCACACTTACTT